ACTACAACAGGAAGACTGCTAAAATACAAGAGCAATTTTTTTTCGAAGATGAAATGGTAGATTTTAAAAACTTTTTACATCCATCCATAACTTTTATCTACAGCAAAACAACCAGGTAACTTTTGGTTACATGTACACGAAATGTCATGAAATTCTGAGCAATAATGGCGATTGGAAGAAAATGTGCTATAAACAAGACGGCGATATGCGAACACGCTTCGTTGTGAACCTCAGAAAAGTTATAGGTATGAACCTATTTTATAGCGTTTTTAATACTGTAACTTGGAACAATATAATAGGTTGGATCATTTATTTTTCCTAGTAATCAAGTGTTCAATATTAAATAGGTGTTTTTATTTTTTATCAGTGAAAATGAAGCAATCTGATTGACTGAGGAGCCTTTCAGAGCGGGCCGGTTTTTTGCATCCGCTGTGAAATGCAACTGCCCGCTCTGGTTTTCGCGGCAAAAACTAAGGAGTGAAACAATTTTTAAACGAAAAAATCTGCCAAAAACGTTTGAAAAACATAGCCTAACGATAGTCAGAATACAAAAATGAATTGCACCAGGCCCTAAAGGCTTCATACTAAGCACGATGTTCACGAGAATTGGCAATACTTTGATAGAAATGCGACTGAAAGTCGGAAAGTAGTTGACATGTATAAAACTTACGTCGAGAAAACTATGATGATTAATTTTTTAAATGCTCATGTATTTATGGCGTTCCGTTCCGGTCAAAATTATTTCAAGTCAACAAGTAATAGTCAAACATTATATCAACATGTTATAACTCTCAATATAATGTTGAAAATATCAAGATGAAGTTCAAACTTAAAAAATAAAACGAAAGTTTAAAGCATATACGTCAAAACTGCAAAATACATTTCAAACCTCAAAGGATATACATGAAAATTAAACGCAAGTCCAAATTTTTTTTTATAATACGAAACTCCCAAATGACAAGTCAAAGCCGCGGCTCATAAAAACAAATCGAAAAGTCAAAAACATAAATCTAAAGGAAACGGAAGTAAGCAACTTAATATAGAGGAAGTCAGGAAACGGAAGTTAACCAAGGGGGTGGGGGTGAATACCATAGATATCTTATATACACTAGATAGTGCATCTAATTATTCTGCAATTCAAAAATTGAAGCCGTGATTGCAGTCTCAGGTCGTTCCCATGAAATGAGAAGATTCGTATGTTTTCTATTTCTTAAACAGGGAACTTAAACATTAAGTTAACCCTATTCCAAATACGTTTTTAAACTATTCAAATAACGAAAGTTAATGTTGTTTCTAAGCGTTTATTAGCAAGTGGGAACGACCAACATGGCCGCCATCTATTCAAATGGGGGTAACCGCTGGAATATTCTTGGCTTCAATTTTACAAAAAGAGATGCGCTATCTAGTGTATATAAGATATCTATGGTGAATACGCGCTGAGATATTTACGTATGTCGCTTGTAGATAAAGAGTTAAAGCTTTCAAAACTGAAGAATTAATTATTTCGTTCTTTATAAACATTGTTGACCTCGTCTTTTAACAATTACAATATATTATGATTCAGTCGAATATTTTTCTCGCCGTCTGGATGTTTACGAGATAAATATTCTTGTACTAATATTACTATAGCCTGATGATCCTGGGTGATACTTGTGAGATACCACGAACAAGTAGATCAAGATCATTGTCCCTAATCGTAGAATGTGATTGAGTGATTTCCTGTTCGTAAGTAGCGGAGACAAATTAAAATTAACGTCGACGTCGTCGTATTGCACTCTCAGATACTCAAAATTTCTTGTAATTTCTGCTCAGGAAAGTCCAACTTGGAGAATTGAAAGTTTAGATCGCCTGTTGTCAGACTCAGACGTCCAGTCTTTGTCATCCCACACCAGAATTCGCATCTTTCCCAATTCGCATGTTTCCCTTTGACGACGAACAATCACTTTTTCAGGGTGCCCACATCTCACAAAAGTTGTTGCTCTAGACTATAGTCTAGAGGATATTAAGCATTGAGAAAAATATTCGGTTGAATCATAGCAAATGTTATTGTTAAAAGTCGAGCTTAGCAATATTTGTGGTCAACTTCCGGTTCCTGACTTCCTCCGTATAAAGTTGATTCCTTCCGTTTCCTTTCGATTTATATTTTTGACTTTTCGATTTATTTTTATGAGCCGCGGCTTTGACTTGTCATTTGGGAGTTTCGTATTATAAATAAAAGTTTGGACTTGCGTTTAATTTTCATGTATATCCTTTGAGGTTTGAAATGTATTTTGCAGTTTTGAAGTATATGCTTTAAACTTTCGTTTTATTTTTTTTTTTGAGTTTGAACTTCATCTTGATATTTTCAACATTATATTGAGAGTTATAACATGTTGATATAATGTTTGACTATTACTTGTTGACTTGAAATAATTTTGACCGGAACGGAACGCCATACTGTATGTATTCGGCCACTTAAAAGCGAAAAAATTACAGCTTAAACAGAAATTGTAAAATAAATGTTTTCCCATTTAAAAGAAGGTTTAACTGCAGCAGTGAAAACAAGTCACGAATATATTCTCTACCCATTTGTGTCATGTATTTTTCACTTATATAAATATTGTAAACAAAGTAAAAGTTTGTGTTTAAAAACACTTTTTTCAAGCATATTATCGTGAAACGACAAGAAAAAATACAAAAATATAAAAATAACATACCTTTTTCATTGTCCTTTTAGTAGAAAAACGTTAATTAAATCAAAACAGATTTATTTTTATGTTTTTGATCGGATCTGAACATGAACCTGTCGTTGTCAGGAGCAACTTGTCAAAGCCAAAACGCCAGGCATAAAAGATTTTATTCCAAAGCTTCTCTCAGTTCTCTGCTATCATATTCATGAAAAAGCATGTACAGTTTTACTGAAACTATACGTCTTTTTGTGTGTTTCTAGCAATTCTTGGCAGTTTTCTCGAGTTTTCGTATTCGTGTTTTATATCTTTTAACTTTTCAATTTTTGTCAGCCTCGCCACAGAGTAGAGACATACAGAGACGTAACTAGTGTACCCACTTTTTTTGTGCGCATGCTCGGCAAGTTACTAGATGCATGCATCTGATTGGATGACGACCTGATGACGACTCACTTTAAACTTGCTGAGCACGCGCAGTTGATCATTTTTCGCCCGGTCGCCTGAAAAAAAGTGGGTACATGATAACGTAATCTTCAGCAGTGTTTACAACGGTCAGTTACGTCTCTGTATGTCTTATCTACTCTGTGGCCTCGCTTTGAAAATACACAACTGCACTGATCTCAAATTAGTTCGCAAGCAACACTGGAATTTTAATCAATTTAATTTTTACATCTGATAAAAAATAAACACGTTATTTACCGGCAGCGTCGGTCCGGATGAGAAAAACTGTGTCCTCGGTCTTGAAAACGTCCCTCGCCCTTCGGGCTCGGGCCTCGGGCACAGTTTTTCTCATCCGGACCTCGCAGCCGGTAAATAACATATATGTACTGGATTTTTAAAAGTAATAGCATAGAAAGAGGCGAATTAGCTATTAAAACGTCCTGCCCGATGAGGGTCGTTTAGTAAAATTCCCTTGGGCGCTGCTCGATGAGGGTCATTTAGTAAAATTCCCGAGGGCCGAAGGCCCGAGGAATTTTACTAAATGACCCGAAAACGTGTACTTTAAAGTTTAAACTAGGGAGATGTTTAGGCTTTTATTATAGAATACATATTAAACTTTCAGAACTTTGATACAAGTTGTTTATATATAAATGCAAAATTTCATGCTGGGGTATAAAATAATACTAGCACTCTTACAAATTCAACATGTCATAGTGCCTGAAATCAACCCGACTATGCAAAATATCTCACCGCTCCCTACCATGAGAATTGCAACTGATGCCAAAACAACACCAAAGGTCCCAACTGCCTCGTCATATCCTACCCTAAAAATACAAAGAAGAATTCCTTTCCGGTAGTCTGGCTGGGAAAGTTGCCCCTCATTGAAGGAAAACATATACTGCAATTCGTTAAGTTCTTAAACAGTAAACTTGTAAATTAGTCGGCCGGCCAAGGTGACAAAAAGTGCCTCTAAAAAGAGTTTGATGGCAACTTTATGTTAGAAGCTGGTAACAGGCATTTTCTTATAGTTCAGGCGTTGGTGAATAAGACTGTGTGTCTTACCACTTCTGATTTTTGCTTTATAGCAAAAAAATTGAGAATTTTAAAATTTTGCCTATTAAATTACTATGATGGCAAAAAATGTAAAATTTCATGTTTTCTCATACAAAAAATAAACTATGCCACTAGAAAGAGCGCAAAAAAACTATATATAAGATAGTTAAGCGACTAGTGCGATTTTCAAGCCGATTTTGAATTAAAGATGGTTAAAGTTGGCAAAATGGGTACTAATTAGCATTAATTTGGTCATTTCTGCATTTTTTAACATTAAAAACTCGAAATAGGATTGGAAAAGCGTATAACTCACTTAATTGTCTTATATATAGTTTTTTACGCTCTATCTAGTGGTATAGTTTATTTTTCGTATAAGAGAACATGAAATTTTACATTTTTCCGATCATATAGTAATTTAATAGGCAAAATTTAAAAATTCTCAAATTTTTGGCTATAAAGCAAAAATCAGAAGTGGTAACACATATAGCCTTGTTCACCAAGGCTTCAACTATAAGAAAATGCCTGTTACCAGCTTCTAACATAAAGTTGCCATCCAGTTGTACAAATTGATGACTTGGCCGGCCGTCTAAATGGTCAAAAGGAAAATTTTGGAAGAACTTCATACACGCATCAAAAACAGTAGGTTTGGCCAGATGAAATGGACGATCATTTTTTGGGGCTCAACTGGAAAAAACGGGGTCGGCTAACGCGCAATCGTTGTCACAAACAGGATTGGCTCAACCCCTTGAACCTGATTCAATGCATGATGAAGTGATAAAAATGCCAATTCAGGTTAGAATCACCTTACGTAAATCTTCTCGGCGTACAATATACCATCAGAGATCATACAACCATCAACTCGTTCCAGTTACGAGAAAAAGTGACATTAGTACTAACAATAATTGTAATTTTTCCTGGCTTCCAAGCTACTATCTTATTAATACACGTTCGCATTTTTCGAAAGTTGACGTACTGCAAGCGCTTTTATTTAGCAACCATGCAGACATCATTGCTATCACTGACTCGTGGTTGTACGATGATATCTCTGATGACCTCATAGCACTTAGTGGTTATAAAATTTATTGTAATGATCGGTCTCACGCACGCGGAGGCGGTGTTTGCATTTACTTGTCGGAAATATTCCCTGCCAACGAAGGCTAGACTTGGAGAATTCAAGCTTCGAGTGTTTGTGGCTTTGGCTTCGTCCAGAACGCTTACCCAGACCCTTGTCGGGGATTGCTGTTTGTCTTATCTACAACCCCCCAGATCGTTCAGCTCAAGAGCTTCGTGATCATGACGAGTATTTGATAGACACTACTGGCTGCTTGCGTAATAAATATCCGGATTGTGTAATTGTTATTCTTGGAGATTTTAACAACTTTGATTTACATAATCTAGCATCCAACCATATCTTATAGCAAGTTGTCCATTTACCTACCAGAGGGTCTGCTATCCTTGACCTTATTGCAACCAATTTGCATAACTTCTACGAGAAGCCGTAACGCATAACTTGTACGAGAAGCATAACTTGTACAAGAAGCATAACTTGTACAAGAAGCACGTTGATAACATCGTATCCAAGGCCAGTAATCGACTATATCTAATCACACAGTTAAAGAGAGCTCGAGTTCCTGCAAATGAAATTATTCAAATATATTGTTCATGCATTCGCCCGTTACTGGAATACGCCTCACCTGTCTTTCATAATTCCTTACCGCAATATTTAAATTTGGATATTGAAAGAGTTCAAAAACGGCGATTTATTAAAAGAAAAGGCCTCAAATTAGCTAAACTAGAAACCCTGTGTGATCGCCGATCGGAAGCGTGCAAAAAACTATTTCTCCAAGCCTATTCTGACACTATAGCCATAAACTACACAATCTGATTCCAAAGGCGAACTCGTGCCAATATTCCCTAAGAAGAAGCCGTAAACTTTTAGTGCCAAGAACTAGAACCGATCGTTTTAAAAACTCTTTTGTCATTTCTAACAGTTCAAATATATAAAAAATCTAGGTAATCTTGAATGTATATATTCTTAATGTGTTCCCATTTGAATTTTAGAAAACTATTTTGATCAAACTTTTTAACTAATCCATAGGTAATCAATTTAGACTAACTATTCATTTCTTGTAAATATTTGTAGATAATTCAGTGCACAGTTCTTCTGTAACTGCAAACTATGAATCCATTAAAGTCACTATCACTATCACTACTATACTGGCTCCGCTTAGCACTTCGGATCACAACATAGTTCACTGGCTCCTTCTTACTAAGGATGCCATAAATACTCTAACCCCCAAACCTAAGCCCAAAAAGCACTTGGTGAGACGTTATCCTCGGTCTGGAATTAAGGTTTACGGACGTTGGGCTTGCTCAAAAAATTGGTTTGACGAACTCAGCGATAATCCAGGGACGGATGAATTGGTTACTCCTTTTCAGTAATCATTACAAGTTGTAACTAATAAGTCTGAAAATGCAAATGCTTAATTTTAAACGCATATTTTAGTGAAGTTGGGCCAAAACTAGCTAATGAAATACCGAACAGCGGTAGGACGCTGGAATCCTATTTAACTTATTAGACGGCCGGCCAACTTGCGAAATTGTTATCGGTGATGGCATTTTCTGTTACAAGCAGCCAACAATGCTAGATAATTTCCAATAGACACAATCTTTAATATTTTGGTTGTTGGTACCTTTGCTTCAGAGTTTTAACGGAGACATTCGAAGGCTTTCAACTGTCAGTTCGCGGGCATCAAATATATTGTTCGCCATTGTGAAATGCACTTCTTTGTTGCTACGCAACAAGTTCTAAATTGTGATTGGTCACCTGCGTTCTGATTAGTTTATTTTAACCAATCAGCGCTAACAAAATGTCATGCCTCGAAGGTAAACAAATAAAAACTATTGATGAACAAGATGAACATTGTATTTTTTTGCTGTTAAAAGTAACACAAGACTACAGAAATAAGGTAAGTTACGGTAATATTACTTTATAATAACGTTACTTATCATGTATTACTGTCTGTTTATAAAATAATGAATTTTTATTGCTATAATTCGCTGTTCAATCCGACATAACACTGTTTGATAAAACTCGATCGATAGACGACGAAAATGGGCTTTCATCCATATTAGTCTATATACTTTATCAAAGGTAGACAATATAAATTCGTAGACTAGTTTAGCCCTGTTGGTTTAAACACAATTATTAAATTGCAACGACAATATAGAATCAATTAAGTTTGAAATAAAATTTTGAATAATACATAAAAGTTGAAATATTCGAATTGAATGAAAGACTCTTGCTTATATTTAATTTCGTTCATGCTTATACTGTATGCTTTATGCGTGGTCTATAATTTGGTATAAACTTCAAGTATTTGGAACAAGGATAAACTGACAATTGATATAGCAAATAATTATACAGTTAATTTTTTTAAAATTCTGTGTTTGCAGTGGCTTTTTAAGATAATTTTCTGAGTGCATGTTGTTTTGCTACACGTATGGCGAAATAATTTCAGACTATTCAGTTCATGTCCATATTATTTTGGAAGTTTATATTTATATTTGATGCACAACCAAGCGCTTTATCTTTCTTTACAAGTCATTTGTAGATCGACAAGTTTAACATCTTTCCTTGTCCATTTGCTGTACCAGAGTTTAATACTTCGTTACAATAGATTTGTCTGTCCATCTGGTGGTCGTTTCATAGTTTCATGTCTTTTTAGTTGCTATATAACCATATTTTTTCCATGGGTTGAGTTCTGTTACAATGATCTGATTCAACTGTTAATTCACTGTATCAGAGTATTTCATTTGGTGGCCAGTACATTGTAAAGGGCTGTCTTGAGTTGCTCAATACCATCTTGATTTATGGTTGCTTTCTGAGACAATAATTCTGATTCGAATACATTGGTATTGGTCGTCCATTATAGATTTCTTTAATTTAGAGATTATCAATTGCATGGTTTCTTCTGTTTAATCTGTATCATTTCTTATACATAGTAGACAAAACTATTTTCCAGAAATGCCAATCTAATAAACATATAGTCCTCTAATCAAAAAATATAATCAGCTTTTCAATTGTCAGTTTCACTAGCCAGGTCCATGCATGTGGACAAATATAACTCATTGAAAATCATCGAACAAATGTGTAAGAATTAAAAGTTTACTAAATGGCATTTGAGTGTGCTTCCATTGAAACAAAAATGTCATGCTTTGATAACCAACTATAGTCTATAGGATGGTAGCCCATTGACTATAAAATTATATAAGTTTTATTAATAATATATTAAGTTTATGTTTAAGTCTATATCATTTGTAACACATGCTCTTCACATGAAATCTTCATTCATCAGGATAACTCTTCATCATGACTTTGATGTCTAAAAGAATGGCAAACTATACAACAAATTAAGTAGGTACAAAAACAATATCTCATGTATAAAGTTCTTTCATTGTTATACATTAGAATAATTAGTTAGTGGAAAATTTTAAGAAATTAACTTTCTGCTAGCCCAATTGGATTGTTACAATCTTTCACATTACAGATACAAATCGGTGTACATTGCTGTTGGCAGCTTTTGTAGCATTTACATGCTCCAGATTTGCATTTTGTTTTGCAACAACAAGAGATAAGGGAAAGACAACATGTTGGTATGCTTGGAAGAGTTGTCCAGACAATTTCCAGATTGTCTAAAGAATCAGATGCCTTCCAACCTCCAGTCACAACTGGTAGAGGGAGTTCCTGAAACTTAACAGTGGCCTGTAACCAGACATTTGCCTGAAAATTGCATCTTGTTATATGCAGGCCTAAAGAATTTTTAGTTGGTGGCAATTTCTCAAGCTCTTTGCTACCTCTCTGAAAAAGATCTACTCTGCATTGGTTTACCCCAGCTAGTGGATCTGGTGCACAATACAACCTGCAAACAAATTCTTCTACATCCTGAACAAAGCAATCCCTTCCAATGCCATAGAGCAAGTGAGGGTACTCTTCAAAAACCTTCCAGCATTTCTTTTTCCCGTAACCACTAAACGAAGAAGTTGTATCACACCCAGTGAATGCGTGAAAGCCTAATATATTTAACAATTATACCATGTGCTCGAGTCGTATATGAGCTGATAGCCGACGAGGTGCGTAGCACCGAGTCGGCTATCAGCCATATACGACGAGAGCGAATGGTATAATTGTTTTATAATATAGTCTAATATAGCCATTAACTGAAGCAGTAATTAATTATTCACTGTTACAATGTGTTGACAATTTGTTCGGCCAAAAGCCGCTTGAAAATTTGAAATACTTTTGTTTTACAACTCGAAGACGAAGTGAAAGAAATGGTTTTAGAACCTCTATATCTCACAGGAAAGCTCAGATATATTATACAGATGCAGTGGCGTAGCCAGCCCGACTATTTACTCCTGCTATGCAAATATTTCTGTGTTCATAGACTGTAAAAACAATGAATTTCTAAAGAAATGAATAATGATAATGCTTTGAAATTTACATAGCAGGAGTAAATTTTCAGGCTGGCTACGCTACTGTACAGATGTTTGGTACTATAGTAAGTGCTTGTTGACTGCAAATTCATTTGTCTTTCTTTGCAAACTTTTCTGAGCAATTTATATTCTCAATGAACATGTTTTTTCGCTGTTGTTTCGGTATTAATTCTTTGAAAAACTTGTATTTAAACTAATTTCTACGTAATAAACGTATTTTACTAACCTGTCAAATTTTTTTTGAGAGTTTTTCCTTGTACTATTATGTTTTTCAAAGCGAATATTTTCCTTTTTCTGCTTCGCAAAACTCATGTAGTTTTTGGACCGCCATCTTGTTTTTCGCTACTCGCCATATATGAGCTGATATACGGCGAGTAATTCAACCAATCAGATTGCAGAACAGCTCATATACGGTGGATGACTATATTATAATCTGAATTACTCCTTCAGATAGCTTATCTGTAATTGCCACCAACCATCCAAGTTTCAATTTCTTCATTTTTTCCAAAAAAATGAATTAATAGCAAAAGAACATCGGTATCTCTACACAACACTATGTTTCTGTTAAAATTATTAGCAATCGCTTCATGTGCATGCAGAATAAGTCGGGTATCTGCTTCCTCATGATTGTTAAATAAGTTAGGAACCTCACCTCTTTGTGTTGAGCATGCCTTAGTTGATCCATATACCCACCACTTGTTACCAACTCATACTGGTGACTAAATTCCCTCCCATGGCTCATAATGTATTCACTAAGGAACCTAGCAAGATCTGCTTTATTATCACTTAATGCTACAAAATTTGCCCACACCTGAGGAAGACTTAAATCACCACGGTTAATAATTTTACGAACTGGTCTCTTTTTTATGCCTCTTTTAGCTCGAGTGGCTGATTTAATTGATTGTTTTACGTAGGTGTCAAAGACAACATCCACTCGTCTAACATGTTCATCAATATGTGCCGTGACAGCTCGAAAAAAGACTCTGGCATAGTCATCAAAGGTCCTACAGGTTTGAGGTTTTCCAAGAGCTTGAACTAAAGCATGACCATCTATTAAAACACAAGTGTTTTGATGCATGGTTGGTGCAGGAATTGTGTGAGGGATTGTTTCCCCATCCATCAAAATGTTAACCAAATCTGATTTAGTTGTTGAGTTAAGAGTGCCATTTACCTTTGCTAGAGAAAGAGGAACATTAGAAAGCTCATGTTTAAGAATATCATGCATATCAATGTTACGACCTGCTAGGGATACTGTTAGAAGACGTTGTAATAATTTCCTATCAGCCTTAATAACTTTTTTCTCATTCTGTATGCTAATAGAGGAAGCATACAATGTGGCAAATGTTTTTGATTTGTTTTTTTTATTGGATCAACAAAAGGCATATCCTTCCTTAACAGCCATTTACCTATGTCCTCTAGTACCATCTGTTGCCCTCGTTGCTGTGCTGTCAACATATCATGTTGTATATCACCAGTTGCAACATCATTGGTTGCCAGAGAAGTTAACTGATGCATATCTACATCCATACTTTTCCCCTCATTTTCTACATTTTCAGCAATTTATTCAAGGGCAACGTAGCCATCAAGAGGATCAAATGTATTTATCTTAAATACATTAAATCTTAAAAAGAGTTCTTTCAAGTCACTGACTGCATTCTCATCAACACTCACTCTGCCTGGCTGTGCGTCCTTCCTGGTAGAAATTGTATCATTTGCATCATCATCTACACCAAATAACACTCTAGTAGAGTGAGAAACATATGAACGTTCTGCCCATGTTATGCAGAACTTGTCCCTAGCAGTATCATTCCTAGTTATTCCTATAATGCCATTTGATATTTTGCAGATTTTGTTCTGCCATTCAGCAGCTGGTCGAGAGGTATCTGGTTAAATTTTAGTTGACTCCTCTTAACTACAAAGTTTCCATTCAGAAACTCCTCATAAACTAATGTATGTCTGTTTTGTAAGTTTTTCATTTCACACAAGTAAACAGCACCCCACCTAGCATAATTTGTATGGTCATAGATTGTCATCCATGGAAGCATTGCTGAAAATGAATCTAAGTGAAGGGCCCAGTTAACCTCCCGATTAGCCCTGATAAAGTCTAGCAATGTTTCAACCATCTTCATGTATGACCTCCAAAGAACAAAATTGGGTAAATGCTGCAGTGTATTATCAAATTCATCCATCATACCTAAAACATCATGCGTCTTTAGAGTAGTGACTAAACAATTTACTGCTGTAACTGCTTCATCATCAGAATTTCTGTGACTGAATGTCTTTACTAATTGATCTATCATTGATTTTAAATTAACCTACCTTTCATTAGATGTTAACCAAGAAGTAAAATATTGCCAATAAATTCGACTTAAAGCTTCATATGTTAATAGATGACCTGTTACAGCTCGATAATATTGCTTCCCTTCTAACATTGCACCAGTAGTATTTTGCGCAAAAACACTAGACTCAACCCATATATCTGCAAGCCCTGAATTTTCCATATGTTGACCTATTGCTTTAAGAAAGTTAAAGAGAACGTGCAAATGGCCTATAACCAAAACTACATTCTGATATTTTTCAGGGTTGGCCCAAATAATTTCCTTGCCTTTACTGTACAAAGGTTGATCTACTGCTATTACAGTATTTGGCTGGCCAAGATGTTTAGCACTTGATGTAAAGCGGTTAAGTATGGTTGTCCTGGTATTATTATCATCTGCAGGAGCCTGAAGTATAGGCAACATGCCAGGCGTAGTAATGGGTGAGTTAACTAAGCTAATCTTCTCATTAAAAGCAGCCCAAGTTGGCACCATTTGTTGAGAGGTTTGGCACATACATACTATTATCCATGCCATATTTTTCATTTTTGACTCAACCTGATTATTGCTCTTATTAAAACACTTTTCTATTTCTAGGTCAGGAGGAAGGTTACTAACTGGCTTTGGCCTTTCACCAATTGGCATGCTGGCATGATCTAACTTATTGAATTGATCTAAGCTATCTCTTGTTATTGTTTTTGCCCTGTTAATGTGCTTAATATCTATGTCAGACCTTATATTTGCCTGGCCTCTTTGCCACAGCATCATTTGCGTGCAATGAAATGTGTTTTTTCCATCTATTGTTTCCTCAAGCACATCAATATTATCACATGAGGCTAGAACAATACGGCTAGGGGAATATGGCACAAGCTCATTTGGGATATATATATGCCCATTTTTGTTAAACCTGTCGATTCTTCTAATTGTATCCATCCCTATTGTATGACCTGCTGCATGAAATAAATCAACAAGCTTTTCTGACCTAGATGCCTGGTGTAGTGTAAGCCCTAGACCAATATGCTTTGGGGTCAACTTTCTCTTTCTAGAGGCTAAGTAAAATATATCCTGAGCAATGCTAGTAATATGGTCATCTAATTTTGATGATCTTTCTTCTAATATATCTGTTCCCCCGAAAAGAACTGAAAGAAAAGTATATAAGCTTTGGAGAATAACTTTAGCAACATGTTCCTTATCTAGCCCACACCATGCAGCACTATGACCTGGTGTATTTTCCAAATCATTCCTGATGGTCATAGTTGTATGGACTAATTCTAGCAGTGCATTGTCTTGGAAGGGAACAAGGTGATCTTCATTACCAAGATTGTCTTCATCATCATTACTATATATTATTCTAGGTGTTGTGCTACAGCAAAATCAGTCTTATTGTTGGGGTAAACAAGGAGGTGAGCCTTAGGATCTATGGGTCTAATAAAACCAGCCTTTTTCACAAATTAAATTTTGAATGTCATTATAAAATGATTGCCTCCTTGTTATGTATTTCTGGGGGATTTGCATGTTTAGATTAGAACACAATTTCTTATAGTGAACCCAGATATTTCCCATATCATACACATGACCAGAGTTTAACCCTGTTAGAATAGCAGAACAAAGTATATCAAGGGATTGGTCACTATTCCTAGGATCCACAGTTTTCAAATTAGATGTAGTAATTGTTCTCTGGAATTTAACCCAGCACTGTACATGATATTTCCCCTCTGCAGCCACTAGGTCACATACATTTGCTAGTCTCACACGCATAACAACATCTTGTTTTGCCAGTGATAAAATTTTATCTGACAGTGTCATCGTTATAACATTTCTGAGGTTTTTGCCTTCACTTGTTTGACAAAACATACATATTTCCCATTTTATGTTATGCTCATGTCTGCTGCGTGTGGAGGCCTTATGTGCAACAGTATTACTATTTGAAGCTTCATGGACTGTTTTTATGCCCTCTTGTTTCTTCTCAAGCCTATTTAGCATGCCTATATGGGTGAACTTGCTATAACAAGAACGATGCCATTTTAAATTTATATTTTCACCGGTACCAATGGTAGCAAGTATCCTTTCAATAACACCTAGGGAACTTGTATCATTCAGAGATTTTCTTCTTAGGGCAACCTCAACAACTTTGCTTTTCCCTTCCTACTCAAGCCACTGCCTGCTGCAGTCTCACTGCCCTCGCAAAAGAAACACTTGGAAATCTCTGAATCTCTCTTAACCTTTTTAAGGACAGTTGGATCTATTTTCGGATATAAAGGTCGTTTTGAGCTTGACTCATAACTCATTTTTGCTGCATAAAAAAGTATATCCGAAGGAAAACTTCTATTGGCGACCTGATTAGAAGATTGCTTAATGTTGTTGGAAAGAACACATAAACTACTTGAAGCGACAACTGTAAATGTTATCAAAGTGAAAGCGGAAAGATTCATAAGCAAGTAGTACCATAAAAAAGTATGAATATTGAAGTGATTTTTAATGAACTACATTATTAAAATAAGTAGAAAAAACATATATACAAACTTTACTGTGTATTCTCTGATGTCTTTGCTTTTCTGTTGTTTTTTTTTATATACAAATTCGCTTTTTACAGTGTATTTCGTGTTCAAAACAGTGAAAAAAACCCGACCAAAGTTCTTTCGAGTTTGTCGTTGTCAAGGCAACAAGGGAACACTCGCAAGTTAAAGGCAAGTGCTGATTGGTTATTTCGGGAGCTGGGGAAAGCCCAATGATCATTTCCCGCCATTTTTCCTGTGTAGTTTACGCGCTTTCGAGAGGTGCAGAAATCGTAAAAATTTGAGCTTCAAATGCGAAATCTTTCGTGCCAACAGGCCTAATAAGTTAGGTAAGTGTCTAAACAATATGTCTATATGTTTTGTTTGCTTGTAACACAAAATGCCATCAAAGGTTTTTTGAAGCGAATTTTGTCAAGTTGGCCGTCCGTCTATATCCAAGCACAGAATTCTCTGCAATACAAAATGTTTCTCAAATAAAAGTTTACAAATTACTTTCCATAATGAAAACATCAAAATCAGCTGGACACGGTAGAATTCCGCCAAAACTTCTCAGCGATGCGGCTGAAGAAATAGCTCCCTCATTAGCAGCGATATTTAATGCTTCAATAAACTTGGGCATTTTTCCTGACGACTTTAATTTAAGATTGCTATAATCTCGCCAATTCATAAATCTGACAGGAAATAATATTAATCTGTGATAATTATACACCAATTTCAGTTTTATCATGTGTTGCAAAAATATTTAAGAAATTAATTTCAGAGAAGCTTAATACGTATTTAAAGTCTAACGGTTTACTCATAGAACAGCAAGCAGGTTTTCGGAGGAAACACTCCACTCAAACATCTCTCCTTCGTACAACAAATCAATGGCTGCTAAATATGGATAGGAGGTGTTTGATCGAATGGAGTTATTATCCTTGACCTTAAAAAGGCGTTTGACTGTGTAGATCATAATATATATACTTACAACAAAAATGGATTAGTATGGAATAAGAGGTCCTGATCTAGCTTGATTTGAATCCTATCTTACTAATCGGATACAAATTTGCAAGGTGGATCAAATTACATCTAATGAAAGAACGATTAAATGCGGCATGCCACAAGCGGTGGCATTCCAGGGCCATTTCTAATGTGTGGGGAGGCGGGGGTAGCATCCCGTTTTACCGACGAAAAGGGCGTTTCCCTTTCCAATTGTCGAACATTACAATACAATTTTTTATAGGATAAAAGTTTTAATTTGAGTATACATATTTGGTAATTTTCAAGTATGGTACCTATTGCATATATCATATACCTTAGGAATTAATTAATAATTATTTTAGCAAAACTAGATTTTTATCATTCTTGATTTATATAAAGACCACGAGTTAGCTACTTTATCCAACTCAAGTTCGTCTAATATATCTACAGATGAAGATAAAATCCTCAAGTCGTCAAGACTGTTTTCTTTCATCGTAGATCGCAAATAGCTTTTAACAAGTTTTAGTTTACTAATTGAACGCTCATTACTTGCGACAGAAACTCAGTGCTGTAGAAGGTGCTTAAAGGAGCCCCCCTTCTTCAAGCTCTGGCGGTGGGGGCTGAGCCCCCCTTCTACTTCAGAAAATCGATAATTTATTAAGAACACGATTAAACAAAACTTAACTGTCTACTTGTTCATGAAGTAGAAACATAATTACTAAAATGGCGTCCTTAATAAATCGATACCTTATCTTGTTTCAATGTTTCATATAACTATGCCTTTATTCTCTGCATTTTCCAAACGGAATGACTTAGGTTAGTACTTACACTAAGTACTTCCAGCGCGAGAGCTGCCTTAAGTAGCGCGGGCGCAGGCAGTCAACAAATATTTACATATTTTTACGGAAAATAATATGTGCATTAGTGCATATTAAATGTAATACTGTCGCGAAAGAAAACTTAAAAATGTCTAAAAAAGTAAAGCATGCATCTCTGTTGGACTTCTTTATGCCAAAAGCGAAGAAAAGTCAAGAAAACCCTCTTGAAGATTCAACTGCAGTCACAGATCTACGGCAAACTGACAATTGTGTTTTGCAACAAACCAACGACTCCAACAAGCAGATAAATGAAATAAATTCCGACGTTTCTGCGGTTTCTCATGCTTCATTAGATACGGGGAGAGGCGAAGATATTGAAATGATCGAAAACAACGAGAGCGACAGCTCCGAAACAGAGAATGCCCACAGGAAATTTGATGGAAACCTAGAAACTATGGAAAACGATTTGAGCGAATCCAGTTCTGTTGGTTTGTCAAACGCTAACCTTAATGCTTCCAATGAAATTCCGAATTCTTGTGAACATTCATCTCAATCTATTCATTCTATTGCACCTTCATGTTGGTCTGTTAAGCAACAAGATTACTTTACTAGTGCATACCCCTGGATTATTTTTTCAAATGGAAAGATTGGTTGTCGCGAATGTAAAAACGTTAACACTCTTGGACTGCATGCTAAACAACGAAGCCATATAAGTAAAGAATGGATAGAGTGTACTGTTTTTCCATGCAAAACGAAGAGTCGCGAAACGTCAGCAGCACAAAAGTACTTACGAAAAAAAATCACCAAGCATGCAAAAAGTAATGCACACGTAACTGCAACCAACATTCTCAAAGAACGACAAAAGAGAAAGATCCAGAGCTCAACCGGCTTGTCTGTTGCACAACATCAATCAGCTACTGAAAAATGCCTCAGAACTGCCTATTATGTTGCTAAAGAAAACAGGCCATACTCAGACTACGAGAATCTGGTAAAGCTTCAGCAGAAAAATGGAATAAGTCTCGGGGTAACTCTACACTCAAGGTGGTCATGTACAGAAATGATTGACATAATTGCCACAACAATGCGAAAAAAAATTATCAAGGAAATTACCAAAAATAACAAAAAGATCGCCATTATAATTGACGAAGCTACCTCAAATGCAAAGGATTCTTGCTTGGTTGTGTATGTGAGGTCGATCATAAACGGTTTGGCTGTTAACATTTTTCTAAGTATCATTGAACTGGGGGGTCAAGACGCAAATTCAATTTATGAATCACTTTTAGATTCGCTTAAAAGTAACGGAATTAATGACGAATACTTGGCCAAAAATTTTATTGCATTTACCAGTGATGGCGCATCAGTGATGACGGGGGCAATCAAAGGGGTCGCGACGTTACTTAAGTCGAAGTATCCGCAAATTGTTTTGTGGCATTGTCTCAATCACAGATTAGAATTAGCGGTATCAGATACAATAAAAGCTGTTGATGGTACCCAACCTATTGAAGATTTCTTCGGTAGGATTTACACGATTTATTCTCAGTCAGCAAAACTGCAAAGAGAGCTGAAGAATATTGCTGCCGAACTAGATGTTCAGCTGCGCAAAGTAGACAAAATTTTGACAACAAGATGGGTTGCATCTTCGTCCCGTGCGGTAGAATCTTTTTGGAGAAATTATCCTGCACTATACAAGCATTTCCACACACTTTCACAGTCCAACGACAAGCACAAAGCAACATATGCGGGATTAGTAAAACGTATGGAAACAATAGAGTTTATTGAAGACGTAGCTATTATGAAAGACTGCCTTGGACAACTTTCAATCTTGTCCGAATCACTACAGAAGGATCGCACCACGCTCCTTAAAGCATCTGACTACTTGCAATGGACGATAAACGCACTGGAAAAGGTAAAAGATTCTTTAGAAACAAAGTATGAATTTAGGAACATTTACGATTCCTCAGTGCAGTTTAAAGGCGTGGAGTTAAAGTCATTTCCGTCCCGGACTGGATACAAATCGTTCAACCGAAAGCAATTTCTACAGGGTTTGATTGATAACCTCCAAAGAAGGATGATCGATTCATCTGAGAAAATATTGTTAAATCAAATTGAATCCCTCTGCCCAGAAAAATGGCCAAGGGGGGAAAAGATTCCATGGCTCAAAGGTGAGCAAGATGTCATATCACTTTGCGAGAGATTTAACATCAACGCGACAGGCATAGTTACATCGTATCGAGAATTTTTCAATGATCCTCGAAACATTCCCTCGCTTGTTGAAGAAAGGCTCCTAAAAGGGCTTATTCAAATTGTACCAGTTAGTAGCGCAGAGGCAGAGAGGGGATTTTCACAAATGAACTTAGTGTGTACAAAGTCGCGCTCTAGCATGTCTGTTTCTCATTTATCCTCCTTGATGTTCATAAGCATCAATGGTCCGCCAGTACAATTTTGGGAGGCAAGTTTAGCTGTCCAACAATGGCTGGAGCACCACAAGTCTGCTGAAAATAATCAAACTAGAAAAATGAAGCAGACGACAGAATCAGAGCTCACACCTTTACAACGATTTTTTGTAAAGTAATACTCGGTAACAGTGTAACACGAAAGTCGAGGTCAAGTCGTCAACTTGCATTATGGATTATGCATGGCTATATATAGATTATGACTTGAGACGTATACTTTCACTTTTTTACTGGCATTTAAATGAAACTTCTTTTTTGTAGCCTCAGTGCTTTACGTTAACATCTAAATGACTAAATCGGTATTCTATAGTTTAATATAGAGACATAGCTCCACTCAACACACAAAAGATAAGAGATGATGGACTTGGTTCACAAACTTCACATTAAACCTACGTTTCATCGATTGATAATGAACAAATAAGACAAAACTATTTATTAATGTTATTGCCTATTAGGGGTAAGTGGTGGATAATGATTAATTGCGTTATTTTTGTAAGCTGTTCTACAATAAGCCCTAACTTTCCATGGGAGTTGTGAGCTAGACCGCTGCACCTCTCCTAAAATTTTTGTCCACCTCCCCCACTATTTTCACCAAAATCCGGCCTTGATTTGCATCTCTTTGCCTAGTTCTAAAATTAGTCTATAATGGGAATTGTCTATTTACATGAACATGAGAGACTTTTTATTTGACTTCCATTTATGAATATTAAAGTCTATAAATATTGTTATTTGTTGTTAAGTTGTTTTGTGATACATTTTAAAAACTACTGTTTTTTCAAACTGGTAAATATTTTCAAAGCCCCCCTTCTTTCGTCTCTCTGTATTTTTTCAAAGCCCCCCCTTTTAGGTTTTGAAAAATTTGAAGGCCCCCCCAGTTTCTCCTCAATCCCCCCCTGTACAATAAATAATGAGCGGTCCCTTACTAACTATGAGTCATCTCAGTCATGAGTTGTGAACATCTATGACGTCATTACGTCATACGATGACGTCACGCTTTTTTACGATTTGAGGGCTTCACACTCATCAAGAGAGCCCCCCCTCTGGTAAATTTAGTTCTACAGCACTGCTGAAAAGCCCCAAGGGGAGCGAGCTGAATAATAATGCAATGTAATGTAATTTGACAGCTAAAAGCCTGGGGCCAGTTGTTCACTATAAAGGTGGTTTAGCGGCTAACCGCCTCGGTTAAAATTTAACCCGCTGTTTTAGTTTATGTATTTCTGCCATCTCACTCGAATAAATAATAGTTGAAAGGTTTTGCAGATGGAAATTATCGAGTGGAAATTTATATACATTTATTAGACCTAATCGGGAACAGCTGCGAAAAATGCAACTTTAGGTCCTTGGCAGGAATCAGCGATGTTTTGCTAATTTTAGAAGTGGGGGGACGGTACGGTCTTGAAAATCAAATGGGCGTGGTCAAACGATTGGGCGTGGCCTCATGCATAGTCATAGTGAACAGGTACATAAATCCACTTCAAAAACTAAGCTATTGCGTAGTACAATATGTACCTAAAAACACCTAGCTTACGCGTGGTATAGATGTCAAAAAGCAAATAAAACCACGTTGACTTTCGAATTTCGATTATGCAATTAGCGCTATGTAAGTAACTCGGCAAACAGGCGACTTTGCAAGTTGAATATGACGTTTTCGCGAGTAACTAAATAAGCTTAGATAATAAATATCCTAATTTTATCCTATCGGCATTCAATCATGTTAATGTTCTTATTGAATCATTTTATGTCCCCATTGATCATTTTGTTGTTCATTTAAATGTTTAATTTCGCGATTGCGCGAGAGACGTTATCCGCGTTTATGACTGGTAAGTACTTATCTAAGCGGACGTCAATTATCAGACTCTCGTATTTTTGTGCTAGTCTGCTAGAATTTTATGCAAATATATCAAGTTTCAGGGAGGACGCTGAGCAATTATTGCCAAAAATAACACGTATGTAGAACAAGTGAAGCCAAAATTATTTGGATGGTGTCAAACGGTGTTTATTGAACTTCACTCATATTTAATCCCTGCCCTGCCAGGGGGAACGGCGTTCCCCCACGTTTGATTTTGGCAGGGATGACGCCGTTCCACTGGTAAAAAAGGTGGGGGGACGGCGTTCACCCGCGTTCCCCCTGGAAAACATCACTGGCAGGAATCAAGCCTGCGATTCCGGTGCAACGCTCTAACCAACTGAGCTACAGAGGGTGTATAAAAAAACTGAACAGATTTGAAATTGCTCTCAATTTCGAAAAACAGCTATTAGTATCCAGTTTTTGATATATATAGTTTCTTTGGGTACTTATAATGTAGAATAATGAAAAAGTTTCTCGAACTCAAATTTTATAAACCAGAGGGAGATGTCTTTTCCAACAAACTAAAAATGGCTTGCGCACAAAATTTAAAAGCTTTAATCATATTTTAAGTTAATAGATGAAAAATTTGTTGGGTTTTTAATCACTGTACAAAAATTTCAGACAATTTGCTTTAGTTTAAGCCCTTTAACTATTCACGCAAACTTACATTTTTTCTTAAAAAATCAGCTATTTGCATGCTAATTAATGCCTTTGCCTAATTTGCATATGTCAGCAATACTTAAATGAATACTTAAACTAAAGCAAATTGTCTGAAATTTTGTACAGTAATTAAAAACCCAATGAATTTTCCATATTAATACGTACTCAAAATATGATTAAAGCTTTTAAATTTCGTGCGCAAGCCATTTTTATTTTGTTGAGAAAGACACACCCCCTGGTTTACAAAATTTAATTGATTCCGAGCTCGAATCCTTGGCTCGGTAAATAGGTATCCTCAAGAAACTGTATATATATAAAGCAAAAACTGGATGCTAATAGCTGTTTTGCGAAATTGAGAGCAATTTCAAATCTGTTCAGTTTTTTGTTGCATGCCCATATATGGCTGCCCTGGATTCCAGAGCCTTCGACAGTAAATAATAAATTGAAATGTCGCGAAGGCTCTGGTTCAACGGGGCGATTCTTTGATTAAACCGCGCCAATCACAAAACAGAATTAGTGGTTTTAGTACAGAATCTGGAGTGTATCTAAAAGTCGAGGGTCGAGAGTCGAGAGTATAGGTCGAGAGTAAAAGTCGAGAGTCGAGAGTAAAAGTCGAGAGTCGAGAGTAAAAGTCGAGAGTCGAGAGTAAAAAGTCGAGAGTCGATCGAGAGTAAAAAGTCGAGAGTCGGCAAATGTCATCAGAAACAACAAAGTCAAAATATTTTTATTGCTGCCGAAGGCAGCCTCCTATTCTTGACGAAGTGTTTTAGCGCATTTGAATTTCCCGCCAACAGTTTTATAAAGTTGAAGCGTATCTCGATTTTGTGTCGTTCACGTCTTTGTCAGCAGTTGTGACGTCAAATTATGACGTAGCAGTAAGGAATTTACATTGGAGCATTATCATACCCCAGGAGTTCACAATAGCAAATCGATGACTGCCGAATACTTTGTTCAGCGACTGCGAACGACGTACCAAGTATGGCGTTTAAAAATATTTTGATCAGCAAGCTTTGTAGCATTTTAACACGAGGTCAGGAGCGAAGCAAAGACATACTTTGTATAAATACTGGCCTTATATTCAAGTTTTGTGAGAAAGGGAGATCGTTTTAATAGAGGTTTTTCAAAAAATATCGAATACTATCGCCGTTTTGGGTTGTCGTTTCAAAGTAAGTTATCCCATCTGACATGTTATATGTTGTATTGCTGTAGGTAATTATCGACTGTACACTCTGCAGTGACAGTGTTTTTGATATTTTGACAAATTAGAACATTTTTATCTCCTCTAGGTGTATTTTTTGGCGTGTGTTCATGGGGATCTTTTGGCCAAATCAAATGAAAAGGGGCCGCTCATATTATGTTTTTCAAAAAAGCAGTGAATTGTGAACTTGCTGTACATACCTGTACCAAACTTGCTAGCGATG